ACCTCTGCCCCGCTCTCACTCGGCGGCAGACCATTCAGCAGTCAGGCAAGGCAGCGGGCTCCATCCCTCATCATCTCAGTCTGACAATATAAGTTACCATCCAACAAGTGTGTCTACCTTCAACCTACGATATCTCCATTTAAGAACCCTTACGATAGGAATGGTACCAAATCTGCACACAGAAATCACTCCCTACGAAAGTAAAAGACTGGGCAGGCGATGCAAAATGCCCCCAATAAAAAGTAGGGGCGCCATTGGTACACTAAGGGAAAACACCATAAGTGTCCGGGGCCCAAGACTGTTCAACAGCCTCCCATCAAGCATTAGGGGAATTGCCAATAAACCCCTGGCTGCCTTCAAGAGAGAGATGGACAGATACCTAAGGTCAGTGCCGGATCAGCCGGGCTGTGGCTCGTATGTTGGACTGCGTGCGGCCAGTAGTAACAGCCTAGTTGATCAGGCCGTGATCCATCGGGAGGCCTGGTCATGGACCGGGCCGCTGGGGCGTTGATCCCCGGAATAACCTCCAGGTAACCAGATGTACGCCATGACAGGTACCTTCCATGTACGTCATGACAGATACCTTCCATGTACGTCATGACAGATACCTTCCACGTACGTCATGACAGATACCTTCCATGTACGTCATTACAGATACCTTCCATGTACGTCATGACAGATACCTTCCATGTACGTCATGACAGATACCTTCCATGTACGTCATGACAGATACCTTCCACGTACGTCATGACAGATACCTTCCATGTACGTCATTACAGATACCTTCCATGTACGTCATGACAGATACCTTCCATGTACGTCATGACAGATACCTTCCATGTACGTCATGACAGATACCTTCCATGTACGTCATGACAGATACCTTCCATGTACGTCCCTGACAGATACCTTCCATGTACGTCATGACAGATACCTTCCATGTACGTCATTACAGATACCTTCCATGTATCATGACAGATACCTTCCATGTACTCAGCAGTCTTCTATGTATGTCATAAATACCCTTTAGTACGCAGACAGATACCTTCCATGTACGCAAGCAGTACCTTCCAGTCGTCATGACAATACCTTTCCCGTACGTCATTTTCGATACATCCATGACGCATGACAATACCTTCCATGTGTCATGACAGTACCCCTATTACCATGACAGATACCTTCCATTCGTCAGACAATACCTTCCTTACCATGACAGATACCTTCAGGGACTCATGACAGATACTTTTCCCTTACTCATGCAGATCCTTCCATGTACGCAGACAGATACCTTTAATTTTTACGTCAGACAATACCTTCTAGACGTCATGAAGATACCTTCCATGTCGTAGACAGGGTACCTTCCAGACGTCATGACGTACCTTCTAGTCGTCATGACAAAACCCTTTTATGTCGTCTTACAATACCTTCAAAAGTACGTCATGACAGATACCTTCTTGTACGTCTACAGATACCTTCATGTATCATACAGATACCTTCCATGTACGCATGACAAAAACCTTCCATGACGTCATGAAGATACCTTCAGTATCGTACAGATCCTTCCTTAGTCATGACAATACCTTCCCTGTACGTCATGACAGATACCTTCCATGTACTCATGACAGATACCTTCTAGTACGTATACAGATACCTTCCATGTACTCATGAAGATACCCTTCCCTGTACGTCTGACAGATACCTCCTGTACGCATGACAGAACCTTAATGAGTCTGACAGATACCTTCTATTAGTCATGACAGATACCTTCCTGTACGTCATGACAGATACCTTCCTGTACGTCAGACAGAACCTTTCCCTGTACTACGACAGATACCTTCAGTACGTCATGACAGATACTTCCCTGTACGCATGACAGATACATCCAGTACGTCAGACAGATACCTTCCATGTACTCATGACAGATACATCCAGTACGTCATGACAGATACTTCCAGACGTCTGACAGAAACCCTTTATGTACGTCTGAAGAAACCCTTCCATGACTCATGACAGATCATCATGACGCATGACAGATACCTTCCAATTTCTCTGACAGATACTCCATGTACCATACAGATACACCCCTGACGTCATGACAGATACCTTCCATGTACGTCATGACAGATACCTTCCATGTACGTCATGACAGATACCTTCCATGTACGTCATGACAGATACCTTCCATGTACGTCATGACAGATACCTTCCCTGTCGTCAGACGATACCCTTTCCTGTACGCAGACAGATACCTTCCCGTACGTCATTAAAAAACCCTTTCCCTGTACGTCATGCAGATACCTCCATGTACTCATGACAGATACCCTTTCCCTGTACTCGACAATACCTTCCATGTAGTCCCTGACAGATACCTTCCATGTACGTCATGACAGATACCTTCCATGTACGTCACGACAGACACCTTCCCACAAGTTTTCGTGATTATTATGTATCAACAAATGTAGCTTGATGAGTGCTGTGATGAAGCCTAGCACTAAGTTTTTTTTTTTTTTTTTGGCTTGGGTCGTTTCGTGAATACGAACTCCCAGTTATATCAAATAAAACAAAATTGCTTTTAAATTTAGTTACAAACATATTTTGAGTTTGTGTAAAAAGAGATTTCTTGTCAATACGTTTTTGTTAGAGAATTGAGGTTAACACCGCACTGACCTTTTCACTGACGTCACCCAATATTTGTATTAGCCGGAGGAGGTGACGAATAGACCCTGGGATGGAGTTGGTCTGCTTTTAAACACCTTAATTTTAAAAATGGTTATAGTTATAATCTTAATTTTTAAAGAGGTGGACTAGTAAACTATCGTAAGGCTTCGGTCATCTGACGGAAGCCTTGCGATGGCCGAGGCCTTATGAGGTCATATGATGACCGAGGTGGGTCTTGACGTGGGTCTTAAGACCCATGTCAGGAAACGCTTGTCCCGTTTCTTGACCAATCTTACTTAACCTAACCTTCTAAACACCACTGAAACTGATTTTCATCTCGATTGTCATTAAGATATGATTGTGTTTCCCTCTGTTACTGGATATGGTTACTTTGCCGATTTAATGGTCAAATGTGGAATACTTGAACTGGCAAAGGCTGAGTTCCCGTCTTGTTAAGCTGGGATGTTAAATTAGGAAAGTGTTAATAATTACTAGTTGCCGTAATGCTGTTCATAAAAAAAAATAATTTAAAATTTTAATAGTGATAGTTTTTTTTTTAAATTTAATTAAAATATGTTGTGTGTGTTTATTTATAAATATACCTTCAGGCTTCTTTTAAAACAAACACTCTTAACACTTTGGTAACGTTATTAAAACTAAGCGATTTGTGATCTTTCTACAAGCTCTTCATTATCTTTAAGATCATTTGTAAGAGAATTCTTTTTTGCCAGGATCAAGTCAATCCGGTTGCTTCCTCTAGTTAGTTTTGACACAGTCTATATGAAAAAAAGGAGTCTTGTACTACTTTTAGAATTTCACTAGACTCTGGATTTCTTGTCAAATTGCCACAAGTAATTTGGCTGAGGTTAAGATATCCTCTTAAAACTACATTATCATATCAAGATGCCTTCGCACTTTCGCCCCACAGAAGTTTACCATTGTCAAGGTTTGGGAGATTAGCTTCTCATGACCTTCGAGAAACTGCAGCCAAAGAGATTCCGTGTCTGTCCCTTCCATCTATATCGTTTCTGATACAAGTTTAAATTATCTCTAATATACATAGCAACTCCGCCTCCATTCCTATTTACTATCATTGTAGAATAATTTACACCACCATATGTAGCACGTCACAGGAACGTCCCTATTTTTCAGACTGAACCAGGACTCAGTTATTGCAATAATATCTATATTTCCTCCACATTCAACTGGTTTTAGTTTGTCTATTTTATTTCTTGCGCTCCGGATATTTGTATAGTAGATGATCAGGAAGTTTTTGCTGTGCTACTCGTCTCATTATTTTGTGTTTTAACCAGTAACTATATATGAGCATTAAGCTATTCTGTTTTCTGAATGTTTTCCTAACTTATCTCAGCAAATTTTTGTTCTCTCCATCTCTAATATTTAACTTCATTTGTTTCCCCCCCACACACCCCTTTACGTCTTTAATCTTCCATCAGTTTAAACTCCTGCACAGTTTAGCAACAGCTCCTTCGAATGAAGTGGCTAACACTACCACCCACCAAAGTGTCCTGTTTCCTGACCAATCTTACCGTAATATCATCCGTGACCCAGAAAGATGTACCCCATCCCATTCAAACACATACCATGTTTGCCACAGAAATTATCCCAGCTGTCAATGAAATTTAAAGTTCCTGCAGTACGTTTCTAGCCAGCAGTTTACAACAGTTGTCCTAAACACTCATTCACCGCCCTCTCATCTTCAAGGTAACGTTATATACGATCGGAATCTTCACCTTGACCTAATTAGGTCAATAGCTGCTTTTATTTCGCTAGAAGCTTTTTTTCACCTGCATTTCCCAACATCACTGGTTCCCACAACCGAGGCAGATGATAGGTTTGTTCCCATTACCGGACATGTTGTTATCTAACCTGTTAACTACAACCATACCTGTTCCAGGGAAAACACACCCTCTGTTTTACCTTTTTTATCCTATTACAAAATGCTCAGTCATATATATATCTGAGTCAAACAACAAGTATTGGGTGGCATTGAAAATTATTGGGTGGCATTAAAAATTTTTGGGTGGCATTGAAAATTGGGTTGGTCAAATGTTTGTTAGTGGGATGAATTGTAAAGGACCTGCCTAGTATGGGCCAACAGGCTTGCTGCAGTGTTCCTCTTTTCTTATGTTCTTATGTTCTATTTTTCACATGTTGAGGCATTCATCCTTCCTGTCTCCTCATCAACAACTGTACACTCGTCCTGAAGAACAGCAAAGCCATTTCCATCCTTCAACTCTGACGCAACCATCCTTAGTTTCATCTTTCTTCTACTTCAGAAACCATCTTACGTTTGTTACATCCAACATGTTTCTAATTACTTCAAATTTAAATGATATTTTAATTTCTCATTCTCCACCCAAAGAATTTGACCTTCATCCATGACGTCTAGAACCTCATTCTTGAGAACAAGAGCTGCATCTTTCACAACATGAAATTCATCCTTGGGAACAAGAGCCATATTTTTGAGAACTAGAACCCCATCCTTGAGAACAAGAGCCATATTTTTGAGAACTAGAACCTCATCCTTGAGAACAAGAGCCATATTTTTGAGAACTAGAACCTCATCCTTGGGAACAAGAGCCATATTTTTGAGAACTAGAACCCCATCCTTGAGAACAAGAGCCATATTTTTGAGAACTAGAACCTCATCCTTGAGAACAAGAGCCATATTTTTTTGAGAACTAGAACCCCATCCTTGAGAACAAGAGCCATATTTTTGAGAACTAGAACCTCATCCTTGAGAACAAGAGCCATATTTTTTTGAGAACTAGAACCTCATCCATGAGAACAAGGGCCATATTTTTAAGAACTAGAACCTCATCCTTTACATCCCTTACCTCTGCTTCTAAAACTCTTCAATGCTCCTGAGAGTTACTTGCACAAACCACTATTTAACAAGCATTTCACTTAACATTCCGAGAGACAGTCACACAGCTCTAAACAGGTCCACACAACCTTAACCCTAAGTTATTTAGGCCGTTTCACACCAAGGCAGGAAGGGTGACCCGAAAGAGAACACGTTCATCATCACTCACTCCGTCACTGTCTTGCCAGAGAGGTACCGATACCATAGTTCAAAAACTCAAATCCCCACCCTGCCTTCAGGGTGCAGCCACTGTACTTCCTACCTCCAGGACTCAAGACCGGTTAAGCGGTATCCCTAAATTCCTTTATGAATGCTACTTTCCTCACACTGCAACAGCACGTAAAGCCATAAAAACCACTTGCCTCCACTCACTCCTATTTAACACGCTTACGCACGCTTGATGGAAGTCTAAGCCCGTCGCACACAAAATTTCCTTTACTCCCTCCCTCCAACATTTCCTAGAACGACCCCTACCCCGCCTTCCTTCCACTACAGATATATACGCCCTCCAAATCATTCTGTTTTCTTCCATCCTCTCTAAATGCCCGAACCACCTCAACAACAACTCTTCAGCATAAATATTGCGTGAGCATTTATTGCTCTACAGATTTAGGATGAAATTTACTTATGTCTTCGAAGGAAGTTCTTAGCTCATTACCTATGGTAACAAAAATGAACGAAGACACAGATGTAAGAATGGTATTTGTTGGTTTGGAGCAACCAGAGACTCTCTCAGCGCAGATGTTGATCCTGTGACCCCACTCACTACCCTGGTACTGATCATGTGACCCCACTCACTACCCTGGTACTGATCATGTGACCCCACTCACTACCCTGGTACTGATCATGTGACCCCACTCACTACCCTGGTACTGATCATGTGGGCCCCACTCACTACCCTGGTACTGATCATGTGACCCCACTCACTACCCTGGTACTGATCATGTGACCCCACTCACTACCCTGGTACTGATCATGTGACCCCACTCACTACCCTGGTACTGATCATGTGACCCCACTCACTACCCTGGTACTGATCATGTGACCCCACTCACTACCCTGGTACTGATCATGTGTCCCCACTCACTACCCTGGTACTGATCCTGTGTCCCAACTCACTACCCTGGTACTGATCATGTGACCCCACTCACTACCCTGGTACTGATCATGTGACCCCACTCACTACCCTGGTACTGATCATGTGACCCCACTCACTACCCTGGTACTGATCATGTGTCCCACTCACTACCTGGTACTGATCTGTGTCCCAACTCACTACCCTGGTATGATCATGTGACCCCACTCACTACCCTGGTACTGATCATGTGACCCCACTCACTACCCTGGTACTGATCATGTGACCCCACTCACTACCCTGGTACTGATCATGTGACCCCACTCACTACCCTGGTACTGATCATGTGGGCCCCACTCACTACCTGGTACTGATCATGTGACCCCACTCACTACCCTGGTACTGATCATGTGACCCCAGTCACTACCCTGGTACTGATCCTGTGTCCCAACTCACTACCCTGGTACTGATCATGTGACCCCACTCACTACCCTGGTACTGATCATGTGACCCCACTCATTGACGCTGATACTAATTTGACTCCACTCATTGACGCTGGTAATGATCATGTGACCCCACTCACTACCCTGATACAGATCATGTGACCCCACTCACTACCCTGGTACTGATCATGTGACCCCACTCACTACCCTGGTACTGATCATGTGACCCCACTCACTACCCTGGTACTGATCATGTAACCCCACTCACTACCCTGGTACTGATCATGTGACCCCACTCACTACCCTGGTACTGATCATGTGACCCCACTCACTACCCTGGTACTGATCATGTGACCCCACTCATTACCCTGGTACTGATCCTGTGTCCCAACTCATTGACGCTAGTACTGATTTGACCCCACTCACTGATGCTGGCACTCATCATGTGACCCCACTCACTGACGCTGGTACTGATCATGTGACCCCACTGATGCTGGTACTGATCATGTGACCCCATTGATGCTGGTACTGATCATGTGACCCCAATCACTGATGCTGGTACTGATCATATGACCCCACTCATTGACGCTGGTATTGATCATGTGACACCACTCACTGATGCTGGTATTGATCATGTGACACCACTCACTAATGGTGGTGTTGATCACGTGACACCACTCATTGACGCTGGTACTGATTATTGAACCCCACTCACTGATGCTGGTACTGATTTAACCCCACTCACTGACGCTGGTACTTATTATTTGACCCCACTCACTGATGCTGATACTGATCATGTAACCCCACTCACTGACGCTGGTACTAATTTGACCCCACTCACTGACGCTGGTAATGATTATGTGACCCCACTCATTGACGCTGGTATTGATCATGTGACCCCACTCACTGACGCACGTGTTAATCATGTGACCCCCACTCACTAACACTGGTAGTGATCATGTGACCCCACTCACTAACACTGGTAGTGATCATGTGACCCCACTCACTCACCAAGGTGTTGATCATGCGACCTCACTCACTTAAGTGTTGATCATGTGACCCACTTACCCAGGTGTTGAACATGTGACCCCCACTCACTGGAGGGTGTTGATCATGTGACCCCACTCATTGGAGGCTGTTGATCATGTGACCCCACTCACTGGAGGGTGTTGATCATGTGACCGAACTCACTGGAGGCTGTTGATCATGTGACCCCATTCACCGGAGGGTATTGATCATGTGACCCCACTCACTGATGCTGGTACTGATCATGTGACCCCACTCACTGATGCTGGTACTGATCATGTGACCCCACTCACTGATGCTGGTGTTGGTTATGTGACCCCACTCACTGACGCTGGTACTGATTATTTGACCCCACTCACTGACGCTGGTACTGATTTGACCCCACTCACTGACGTTGGTAATGATATTTTGACCCCACTCATTGACGCTGGTAATGATTATGTGACCCACTCACTGACGCTGGTACTGATCATGTGGCCCCACTCACTGACGCTGGTGTTGATCATGTGACCCCACTCGCTGGAGGGTGTTGATTATGTGACCCCACTCATTGGAGGGAGTTGATCATGTGACCCCACTCATTGGAGAGTGTTGATCATGTGACCCCACTCACTGGAGGGTGTTGATCATGTGACTCCACTCACTGGAGGTTGTTGATCATGTGACCCCACTCACTGGAAGGTTTTGATCATGTGACTCCACTCACTGGAGGGTGTTGATCATGTGACCCCACTCACTGGAGGGTGTTGATCAAGTGACCCCACTCACTGGTGGAGAGTGTTAATCATGTGACCCCATTCACTGGAGGGTGTTGATCATGTGACCCCACTCACTGGAGGGTGTTATGTGACCCCACTCACTGGAGGGTGTTGATCATGTGACCCCACTCACTGGAGGGTGTAGATTATGTGACCTCTCTCGCCGGAGGTTGTTGATCATGTGACCCCACTCACTGGAGGGTGTTGATCATGTGATCCCACTTACTGGAGGGTATTGATCATGTGACCCCACTTACTTGAGGGTGTTGATCATATGACCCCACTCAATTGAAGGTGTTGATCATGTGACTCCACTCACTGGTGGGTCTTGATCATGTGACCCCACTTACTGGAAGGTGTTGATCACGTCACCCCACTTGCTGGAGGGTGTTGATCATGTGACCCCACTCACTGGAGGGTGTTATGTGACCCCACTCACTGGAGGGTGTTGATCATGTGACCCCACTCACTGGAGAGTGTGGTCACTTCGCCGAGGTCTTTCCCTGGCTTACCTCTCCATCCTTTATAATTAAATATCTGATGATAATATGTAATATTAAATTTTCTCCTCACTAATTAACAAAGGATTACTCTCTGGCGTTCTAAAATCCTTCCGGTCAGTGACGTTAATGTTATCTACAGTGAACTTCACTGCCAGTATAATGTAACACGCATTCGTAAGTAAACATGACTGCTAATATTCTCCTTTATCCTGTGTTTTGTTACCAATTATTGTACACGACGAATATATAAATTAAAGATTTTCTTTATACCTTCATAATAAGATTTAATCGATCGTTTTTGTGTGGACTGAGAGAGGAAACAAATATTGGTGAATGTTTCGTTAAATGTAGGAAATATATATGTATTGTGCTGTGCTACGTGGGTTAGGTTAGGATAGGCTAGGTTAGGTTAGGTTAGGTTAGGTCAGGTCAGGTCAGGTCAGGTTAAGTTAGGTTAGGTCAGGTCAGGTTAGGTTAGGTTAGGTGAGGTGAGGTTAGGTTAGGTTAGGTTAGGTTAGGCTAGGTCAGGTCAGGTAGGTTAGGTTAGGTCAGGTTAGATCAGGTCAGGTTAGGTTAGGTTAGGTCAGGTTAGGTTAGGTTAGGTTATGTTAGGCAGGTTAGGTTAGGTTAGGTCAGGTAAGGTTAGGTTAGGTTAGGTTAGGTTAGGTTAGGTTAGGTTAGGTCAGGTCAGGTTAGGTTAGGTCAGGTCAGGTTAGGCTAAGTTAGGTCAGGTCAGGTCAGGTTAGGTTAGGTTAGGTTAGGTTAGGTCAGGTCAGGTTGTGATGTTGTTCAACTGGGCTTGTGAGGTCGCTAAGGGAGACCTAATTTAACCAATTATATGGTCACACCTTGCCTTGGCAATAGCTGTCAGACACGCCTTTTGGCTTAAGTCTGAGGTCCTTTCTTCTTGACGGCGTCAGATCTCGGCGTAAGGTCAAAACACGTGGTGCACACCCCATTGTGGGGGGTGCTTTGAAGGACCATATAAGCTCAAGGAACAGCTAGAGAGAGAGATTCGGGCAGAGCACTGGCCTTGGTGCAGAGCTCCCAGCAGCAGAGAGATTCGAGGGGAGATGCTGCTGGGGTGTTGGGCTCGGGAGAGGGCTGCTGGAGTCTCTGGAGGAGACTGTTGGAGACATTGGGCAGAGCTCTTGCCTGGAGCAGTGCTTGGCTGTGTAGGTCTTGGGACCTGTGGCTAGAGTGTGTAACTTAGTTCCTGTGGTGAAGTGTCCTCTGAACAATATTGTAAGTTATATTCTGTTTCGTCAGTTGATTGCATTCCCTGTCTCACTGCTTATATTGTACAAGGACTTAATAATAAACTGTGTTTGAGTGGAATAGTAATATTCACTGTCCCCGTTATTCATTCTTTTATTCATTGTTTTATTTTAAGTAGTGAGAGGGTGAGTGGTGTTGTGGTAGAGATAATGAGAGGTGATGGTGTAGTCACCAGTGACCTCACATTACCTCCGCTAATCACTCGACTCACCTCTCCTGCCTAACTCCTACCTATTGACTCCCTTTACTCCCATATTCCCCAATTACCCATACTTTCCATTACCCCCCCTACATAACAAGAACAGGTTAGTTTAGGTTAGGTTAGGTCAGGTTAGGTTAGGTTAGGTTAGGCTAGGTTAGGTTAGGTTAGGTTAGGTTAGGTCATGTCAGATTAGGTCAGATCAGGTCAGGTCAGGTTAGGTTAGGCTAGCTCATGTTAGGTTAGGTTAGGTCAGGTCAGGTTAGGTTAGGCTAGGTTATGTTAGGTTACGATAGCTTAGGTTAGGTTAGGTTAGGTTAGGTTAGGCTAGGTTAGGTTAGGTTAGGCTAGGTTAGGTCAGGTTAGGTTAGGTTAGGTTAGGTTAGGTTAGGTTAGGTCAGATTAGGTCAGGTTAGGTTAAGTCAGGTTAGGTTAGGTCAGGCCAGATTAGGTCAGATCAAGTCAGGTCAGGTTAGGTCAGGTCAGGTTAGGTTAGGTCAGGTCGGGTTTAGGTTAGTTTAGGGCAGGTCAGGTCAGGTTATGTTAGGTTAGGTAAGGTTAGGTTAGGTTAGGTTAGTTTAGGCCAGGTTAGGTTAGGTTAGGTTAGGTTAGGTTAGGTTAGGTTAGGTTAGGTAAGGTCAGGTTAGGTTAAGTTAGGTCAGGTTAGGTTAGGTTAGGTTAGATTAGGTCAGGTCAGGTTAGGTTAAGCTAGGTTAGGTTAGGTTAGGTCAGGTTAGGTCATTTAGGTTAGGTCAGGTCAGGTCAGGTCAGGTAAGGTCAGGTTAGGTTAGGGTAGGTTAGGTCGGGTCAGGTTAGGTAAGGTTAGGTCAGGTTAGGTTAGGTTAGGTCAGGTTAGGTTAGGTTTGGCTAGGTCAGGTTAGGTTAAGTCAGATCAGGTTAGGTTAGCTTAGGTTAGGCTAGTTTAGGTTAGGTAAGGTTAGGTTACGTTAGGCTAGGTTAGGTTAGGTTAGGTTAGGTCAGTTCAGGTCAGGTCATGTTAGGTTAGGTTAGGCTATCTTAGGCTAGGGTAGGTTAAGTTAGGTTAGGTTAGGCTAGTTTAGGCTAGGCTAGGTTAGGTAAGGTTAGGCTAGGTTAGGTTAGGTTAGGCCAGGTTAGGTTAGGTCAGGTCAGGTCAGGTCAGGTCAGGTTAGGATGGGTTAGATTAGGTTAGGTCATGTCAGATTAGGTCAGGTCAGGTCAGGTCACGTTAAGTTAGGTTAGGCTAGGTTAGGTTAGGTTAGGCTAGGTTATGTTAGGTTAGGTTAGGTTAGGTTTGGTCAGGTTAGGTCAGGTTAGGTTAGGTTATCTTAGGCTAGGTTAGGTTAGGTTAGGTTAGGCTAGGTTAGGTTAGGTTAGGTTAGGTAAGGTTAGGCTAGGCTAGGTTAGGTTAGGTTAGGCCAGGTTAGGTTAGGTCAGGTCAGGTTAGGTTAGGTTAGGCCAGGTTAGGTTAGGTTAGGTGAGGTTAGATTATGTTAGGCAGGTTAGGTTAGGTTAGGTCAGGTAAGGTTAGGTTAGGTTAGGTTAGGTTAGGTTAGGTCAGGTCAGGTTAGGTTAGGTTAGGTCAGGTCAGGTTAGGTTAAGTTAAGTCAGGTCAGGTCAGGTTAGGTTAGGTTAGGTTAGGTTAGGTCAGGTCAGGTTGTGATGTTCAACTGGGCTTGTGAGGTCGCTAAGGGAGACCTAATTTAACCAAATATTTGGTCACACCTTGCCTTGGCAAATAGCTGTCAGACACGCCTTTTGGCTTAAGTCTGAG